CTGCAAGTCAGTTTTGACTTGACTGTATGTAGCAACAAGATTGTAACTAAATTGTGCAGCCAAATATAACTACTTAAAGTCATGCCATATTTTCTTTGCTCAAATATGACAGCCAAGCAACACCAATGCTGCCAAGATGGTCTTGGAAGCATTGGTCCTCCCATTTGCCAAAAGAGGCATCAGTAGTGGGTGGGCAGTACCAATGAAGCAGGTATGGGATGAGTGGATGGCTAAAGCAAGGATAGGGCAGAAATGGGAGAACACACAATCCTACAGATGTTCTTGGAGTGCTACTTCTGCCAGCCCTTACCACTGAGTGTGCCTCCTGGGACTCTTTGGATTCAAGGTCCAACAGTATCTGGTGGGTCACATGTTTCCTACTCATCAGATAGGAAAAAAGCTGGTAGGCTGTCATCAGCACCCTCTTTTCTGCCATTGGCGTCCCTCACATGTTTGTAAGGTAAAAGGTAAAGGTAAAGGTTCCCCTTGACAATTTTTGTCCAGTCGTGTTCGACTCTAGGGGGTGGTGCTCATCCCCGTTTCCAAGCCATAGAGCCAGCGTTTGTCCGAAGACAATCTTCTGTGGTCACATGGCCAGTGCGACTTAGACACGGAACGCTGTTACCTTCCCACCGAAGTGGTCCCTATTTATCTACTTGCATTTGCATGCTTTCGAACCGCTAGGTTGGCGGGAGCTGGGACAAGCGACGGGCGCTCACTCCGTCACGTGGGTTCGATCTTACGACTGCTTGGTCTTCTGACCCTGCAGCACAGGCTTCTGTGGTTTAGCCCACAGCGCCACCACGCCACATGTTTGTGCTGAGCTATAAATTCTAGCAGAGTTGTAGTAGTTTGCATGGGATAGAAATAATTTCTCTTCCCATCCCTAGGCATTCTTTTTCTCTTTTAACACAAGATTTGGAAGGTTTTGCTATAGGAGTTCAAGGGGGAAGCTCCTGGTATATGGGGAGGTGGTTTTGCAAATAAGTATAGATTGTCACCAGATATATTATCATCATCATCTTAGAAATGCAGCCCCCATCAAGGAGGCACAGTGGGGAGTCAAACTCCCATTCTCTGGCTCCACAGCTAAATACCTATATACTAAATTCATTAAATTTGATAGATTGTACTATATACCTGTACTTCTGCCATACTGATTACTGAGCCTGCTTAAAGGTAATAACTGATTTAGGTTGGATTGGAGTGCAAAACATGTCCCATTATTGCCAACACAACAAAATGTACGGTATGTGCCCTCAATTTAAATGTGCTGAATGTGAAAAGACTGGAATGAGAAATGTAATATTGATTGTGTAAGTTCAGAAAGAGTACTCCTGCATTCAAAAATGTCAAACAAAAAACTGTGTATATTTTATCATAATAAATTTGCAATGATACCAGTCCCAATAAACTGTATTATCATATATTTTTAAAATAGCTGTTTACATGGTACACACATTTTAAAAGCTTATATAATATATTGGCTATACTAAATGAATAAATCATAGACATTAGAGGACGTAATGATCTTTAAGTCAACAAGTCTTGATTTGCTATCTTGGGCAGCCTTGAAATAGTTCCTTCTTATAGAAGGAAGAGGGCATGAAAGCTACACACCTTTTTTCTGCTAGAATAGTGGATGGAAATTTTGTTCACACAACCAGCATCAACCTTTTTATAATCATTAATTTTTTCCTTTGTAAATCTTAAGGGTTATGATCAGTGCAAGGAATTTCAGGAGATTTCTGCAAAAAATCCCACTTCTTGCTGCAAACTGTTGGGTGCTCATAGATTGTACTATATCTCTCGGCAAATGGTACTTTGAAGTACAGGAACTATTTGCTAGTGAGTGATGGAATTCCTGCCAGTATTTACTTAAATTATTAGTAAAAGCAGATTATTGAGGAACTTCTGATTTTGCCTCCTCTTGAATTCTACAGCATCACATAAATGATGTTGTGAATTTTTTGCACTCCAGCTCTCATCAGTTTTTGGTGGTGATGGGCAATGATAGGTAGGTTGTCCAGCCATCTCTGGTAGGAATGCACATTGGATTTGGACAAAGCCTAAACCAGATAGATTCTATTGCTTCTTACAATGAAGCAGTCCTTGATCTGAAGCTATTGAAACTGAACCTGGACTCCAGCTACCAGAAACAAGTTCAGAGGAGGGCGACAATGATGATCAGGGGGCTGGAAACCAAGCCTTATGAGGAAAGGCTGAAAGAACTGGGCATGTATAGCCTTGAGAAAAGAAGGCTAAGGGGTGATATGATAGCACTTTTCAAGTATTTGAAAGAGTGCAGGACAGGCAACAATGGGCTCAAGTTAAAAGACAAACCTCCTAACCGCTAGAGCAGTATGACAGTGGAACCAGTTACCTCAGGAGTTGATGAGTTCAACCCTGGAGGCATTCAAGAAAACTTAGATAATCAGCTGCCAGATATGCTTTGGTTATATTCCTGCATTGAGCAGGGGGTTGGACTTGATGGCCTTGTAGTCCCCTTCTAACTTCACTTTTCTATGATTCTATGAAACTTTGTTCTGTTATCAGAAGGGCAGTGGACAGATGAAATGAACATACAAATTACAAATACAATGCTTTTCTGAGGTTTAATTTCTATAAAAACATCCAGGATGGGGAAGGAAGATTGTGTGTAGGTCAATTTTCTGATTCTACACTCATTTTGAAAGGAATTGTCCAGTAGCTATGCACAGAGAAAGGTAGAAATAAATTGGCTTCAAAGGAGGAGCTTTATGTGAAAGACCCTTGTACTCTTATCTGGCTCTTCAGATGAGCAAATAGCCCTGGAACTAATCCCATTTCAGTCCCGTGTATGAAACATAACAGCCAATTTCACATACCGTATTTTTCGCACCATAAGATGCACGTTTTTTCCAAAAAAAATTGGGGAAAAAGTGTATGCGTCTTATGGAACAAAATTCCCAGATTATTTTTTCCTGTTTTCTTCGCCTAAAAATCTAATTCTTGTTCTGTTTAATTATCATTCTTGCAGTTTTTGAAAAATTCTAGTATACATTACATCTCACATGTTGATTATTTCATTCATTCATTCAACTTGTATACTGCCCCATAGTGCATTGCATTCTCTGGTCGGTCTACAACAGTAAATTCAGTTGAATAATACATTATACAATGCATACATATAATTTATTTTAACAAATATTTTCCTGCCAGTTAAACAGCTGGAAAGAGTAGATCAATATCAACAAATAGCTGCTTCAAAAAGTTCAGTTTTAATCCATTTCTTAAAAATGTAGAAGGAAGAATCCTATCAGACCTTTATTTTTAGATTAGGAGTTGCTAAATTGCATATTGGTTCAAAATTGGGAAAGGAATATGACAAGGCTGTATATTCTCTCCCTGCTTATTTAACTTATATGCAGAATACATCATGCGAAAGGCA